CTGGGTTGTCTTTTTTTTTTTTTTTTCGATATATATATACGTGTGAATGTTTATGTAAATTTGTTGAAGACAATATTCAAAATGGTTAAAGTTGGGGTTTATTTTCTTGAAAATGAGTGGGATTTGATGAATTTTATCAACCGGGGTGTCTTTGATTAGATATTTATTTGAATGTTGAAGATAAATTTAAATGAATCCATGTCGTTGTCTTATAGACGAGTAGGTTAAAGTTGGGGTTGATTTTCTTTAAAGTGAATGAGATTTGATGAATTCTATTAACTGGGGTCTCTTTTATTTAGATATTTATGTAATTCTCCGTTTAATTGTTTTTGGTATTTGGTAAGCTGGAGTAGATAGGACTGCCCGTTAAAATCCTGTTTATTGAACTTTGCCGTGATAATGTATACCGAGCATGCATTTAGAGATTTTGATAGGTAATACTTGCAAAGAAGATGTTTATGAAATTTTTTTTTTTTCTCGAAATGGGACAGGAATTTGATAAATTGGTTCAATTTTTTGGCATATTTGTTAAGATGGATTAGCTATTGATCGGTGATGCTTGCAAAGAAGATGTTCGTGAGTTGATATTTCTTGAGACTGGATATGGATTTTTTGAATTTATCAGCCAACGTGTTTTTGATTTTCATATTTATGTGATTCTTGATGTTATTTTTTGGGGGTTGTAACTTTAGATATGTGTTGACAGGTGATGCTTGTAAAGAAAATGTATGTGGAAAGGGTAACTGCAGAGTTTCAAACGAGAGCAGTTTTGGTTTTGTATGTGAATGTGAAGCTGGGTGGAAACAAGCTCGTTCTGAAAATGATACTGATTTCAAGTTTTTGCCTTGTGTCATCCCTAATTGTTAGCTCTCTCTCTCTCTCTCTCTCTCTCTCTCTCTCTCTCTCTCTCTCTCTCTTCCCTTCTCTACTTTGATTTGGTGTCGTTTTGTCTTCTTTGGAGTCCAATAAGATATTTCTGAAAATCAAGAACCAAAACGAGTAGTATTGAATTAGTCAGAAGAACTTACAACACTCAAGCTGAAAAGTGCTTATGAGCAGCTTTCTTGTTCAAGATAGAATTTAAATAAGTTTTCCCCCTCTACTAGCTTTATATTTTGAACGCAGCAGCTTAACATAGTATGAGAGCATGCAGGAGTTCCATGTTTGAATCTTTGTGCTATCGATTTTGGAAAATTCTGCATATGTGTTCTATGTAAGAAAGCAGAGAGATTGCTTACAAGCATCTCTATCTTTCAAAAAATGTAAGACCAAATGGAGCGTTCATTTTTGAAAATTCTCTTTTCTGGGCTTAAGGGTTGAAAGAATTGTGTTTAACCATCCTTTACCTGTTTAAACTACGTTGGTTTTGGCAAGAAATTAGACTATAACTACATCAGTTCCAGATTTATTCTACAATAGATGCGTGAAACTATAGATGAATATACAGATGTAGCATATTGCACAAAACGCGACAAAAAAGAATGAATGAGTTTCACAGTAGTGTCTTGAAAAAGTTATCGAGAAAAATGAAGAGAAGAGGAACGAAAAAAGAAGTCAAGAAATATATTAGTTCATTTTCTGTTTTGATTGAAGTATTAGTTTATGTTCTGTCTCTGGTTGGTTATGTGTTTTCGACAAAGATGAAACCAGTGAATGAAAGGACTGCAATGCGTTTGCTTAAGATAAACAAGTTTTATACAGAGATTGTGAAGATATAATAACACTCTACAATTCTTTGAATCTTGATATGCTTTAAATGGACTGAGAAGGATGTTCAAATTGAGCAGTTTTTAAAAAGTATGTAAATTGTTTTTTTAATTTTAGTTGGTAAAAAATCTTATCAAGGACGTCATGAAGCAAAAAAAGATATTCTATCATTTTCCATTTCGATTGAAGTATTAGCTTTCTTCTGTCCTGGGATGGTTAAATTTGAAAACAGGTGATGAAGTTCCAGAATGAAAGAGACCGCTTATGCTAAGTTAATTTTATACAAAAACTTGCTGAAGATGTTAATACATTTTACAATTCTTTGATTCTAGATCTGCTTTAAAAAGGACAGAAAGTCGTATTTTGAAATGTATGTATATTTTTGTTTTATTTTAGTTGATAATATATCTTTAGTCAATTATGCCGATTTCTTAATCTGCACGTCCACACCTGGCACAAGTTTGTTCACTCTATGATTAAAATCTTTGATAATCTTTGATTTTATTTATTGGTTTCTTATAGTAGTGATCAATTACAAGTTGTAATAAAAAATAAAAAAACAATCATTGAATACAGTTGCATTATTTTGATAAAGATGGATATTTTGTTCTTCAGGTACACTCAACTACTCATGTGGACATGTCCCTGCCCCTGCGCCAGAATCTGAGAAAAGAGCTAATCTTTCAATTTTTGACCGTAATGAAGAATAGATGTTTATCCTCGATTTTAGCACAGTCATTTTAATCGATATGTTAATTATTTATTTGTTTCGAATCCTGTTTTAGCCTGTCATTGGACGGATTGTGGTGGAGGCAGCTGCAACAAGACGTCCCTGTTCACACACAGGTGTGAATGTGAAGAGGGTTATTACAATCTACTAAATGCCACTGCTTTCCCGTGCTTCAAGGAATGTAAGCATATACTTGTACATGTTTGGTACACATTATAAACTATAAACTAGACTAGATAGTGCAATGGGCAAGATTTTAATTTCAAATTCTTTCATAATAGCATTCATTTCTTTCTAATTCACATTATCAATCATGTCATTAATGAACTTATCTTGAGATTTGATGTTAGTAGACAATCGAGTGAATAAATTGAAGAAACATTAAACTTCGGAAGACATAAATGATAAATCTTAAATACGATGCTGGAATTTCATGTTCACGTGTGATGTTAGGTGCAATTGGAATGGACTGTTCAAAGCTTGGGTTTGATGTAATGAACAAATCAACTTCTCCTTCTAGCCCCAATCTGGCTGATATTAGCAATAATGAAGGTGAGCTTAATACTCAATTTGTCTATTCTTTACTGTGCGCACGTGCATGTGCCTGCATTTTGCAAATTTTCTTGTGAAGGTCGCATTTGTTGGTCGATTATACTTGTGCTGGTTCATGAATTGATGTTATTCTTTGGTAAAAGGAGCAAGCTTCGTCCCCAGAAATGAATTTGCTTGGTCGATTATCACAGCGACAACATTGGCTCTGGTTATGGTGAAGTAGATTTTATTGATAATAATGTGCCAATTTTATGTCTACATTTGAATGATTGATTCAGAACTTGCAGCGGGTAGTCATATATAGAATAATATCCCGTAGTAGAATCCAGTGGAGTATTTATATTTTACTGTTATTCTAGCGATTGCTTGTTTTATTGTACATGGAATTTTTGGCAGTACAAGTTAAAGAGATTTTTTTTTCGCTTTTAGTGAATTAGCTGCAGAAGTTTTGATTTCATTGCCTAAAACAATTTATATACCTATGGAACTCATAGCAGGCAAACATGTTGGAGCAGAGCAACACTGTAACCTTGTTACAATGAAAGATTACATGATCCTTTGTGTGATCATTTTTCTTTATAGGATTAAAACTAAAACTTCAGTTTTTACTGCTGATTCACCGCTTGTGGGGCTTTGATTGACGTTTGCACCATGACTTTGTTCGGATATGTAGTTCTCTCGTTCCTTCATTCTTGGTTTCAAGAGAACTATACAACTCGTCCCTTAACTTTTTAAATTTTAACACATGAAAGGATCTCCATTTAGAACTCTATCCTCGATAATATACATCAAAATGTAAATATCCCAGTTCATTTCTTTAGTTTTCTTAATAAAATCAAGTCTCACTAACATTTAAAATATTTTTTTCAATTCTCTTCAAGTATCATCTTTGTGATTAGAATTTTACCTTTAGTGAATTCTTCGTACTTCTTGGAAAATCTTGATCACGGATAATCATAATTTTTTCTCCTTTGTGAATCTTGATTTGCCACAATCTTTTCAATTCACAGTTGTCTAATTATTATGCCCCCAATGGTAATTCACACGAGAGAACAAGAATGATATATTAGGGTTTCTCATTCTTATGCTAGCAAGATTAAGAATGTTGTAGTTGAGTTATGAAAAACTATAAACCTAATTGTTTATTAATAGATGTTTAGTGACGCTTGATCCACCCACTAAACATAAATTGGCCAATTAATTAATTAATATAATTAATTGAAACTTAGTCAATAAGTTATTTAATTATTAACTTAAGTCCATTAATAAATAACTCAATTAATTAATTAATTGACTAGGACATTTGTATAATTAATTTTTAGTATCAATTTTCAAGTTCTCTCATTTTTGTGTGTGACTAATTAGGTTCTCAATCACGATATTGGGTAACATAAATTATTATTTTAGTATAATCAAAATAAGATAAATTAAAAACTCTCATTCTAATTTATATAGATTAATTAATTCACAATCATGTCCCTTATCGACATCTAGCAATATATTATTTAACCTCTCATCTATCATATTTGTCATCCACCCCCTACATCATCTTGTCTTCCTCCCTTAATGTCTCTACGTCTGTATGACAGTGGTGTCTTGCCTGCTAAATTATGGAATCCACCTTCTTATCTAAACATAAGAGATCCAACGTACAACTACTAACTCATATCGTAGCGCTCCTATCTCATCTCATATAATTCTAGTCAGATGCCTACTCAGATGCTAAAACAAAACATTTGAAGAGGATCAATTTTGTTCCGGCTCACGACTAGGTAATGGAGATAGATGAGGTGAAAGAGCTCGACGGGGTGAAGGATCTCAATAAGGTAAAAGAGATTGGTACTGTGCAGAAAATCTCTTGTATGATGGAGATCACCGTTCAACTAATAGCACTCCTACATAAGTAAGAAGATTGAGAATTAATACATTTAATTAAAATATGACAACACAAAAGTATAAACTAAATTAAATCACATGTAATAATAAAAAAAACATAATCTACATATCCTCTCTCCGTTCGGAATGGATTTAGATAATGGACCCAATCCGAGACTCCAAAGCCCAAACTGTGTAGACGCAACTAGGATTGGATAAGTAGCACCAATTGAAGTTAAAAAAATAAATAAATTTGAATCGTGTTTGGTATACAATCATGGATGACAATTTTATTTACAAAATGTCACGTGACATTCTGTCATTTGACAATTTTGAAAAAAGTTATTTTTGAAGCCTATAATTTTTTTGTCTATGGACCGATTGTCAATAAAGTTGTCATTCATGGTTCTACAAATAGCATTATTGTAGGCCGTGACGTATCAGTGGAATGAATGTGGTCTAATTTGTTACTTAACATCATCTAAAATAATTGGGCATAAAAAGTAAGTCTGTTAAAGTCCGTCTTCATATTTCAAAATAGTTCATTGTTACATAAATTGGCGATGAACATCAATAGTAATATCGTCCCATATAATTCAATGAAATTGGACTACATTTTTTATTTAATAACAATTATTTTACTACCGTATAAATTGGTTTTATGTATAATTAATTTCTGACCAATCGTGGGGCTGTCACTCCCAACTACATAATTATTTAATGACAATAAATTCAACTATCATTTTTTTTGGGTAGTAGAAAAGAAAAAAATAAAATAAAATAA